TTTTTATAATCTAGTCCTAATTTTGCATGAATTAATTAATATATAATGCTTTAATTGATGTTTCACGAGCTTGCAAGGGTCGCGTCTTATAGTAGAAATGAATAATTATTAATTGACTTACATGTGTACAAACTTATTGTGTACAAAAAAGATATTTAGTTAAAGTTAATATATGTATTTGATACATATACTATTTTAACTAAAACTAAATTTTTATAATAATTGTAATTATAAAATATATGTATGTGTGCGCGCACGTGTGTTTGATACATATGCAATTTTACTAAAACTAAATTATTATAATTATTGTAATTATAAAATATGTGTGCGCGTGTGCGCTCGCTCGCTCGTGTGCGTGTATTTGATACATATCTTTTTTAACTAAAACTAAATTTTTATAATTAATAAATTATAAAATATATGTGTGCGTGTGTGTATGTGTATGTGTATGTGTATGTGTATGTGCGTGTGCATGTGCTTGTGGGTGTGTGTTAGAATCTAATTAGAATTGAAATAGGTTCTTTATATTTAAAGGAGAGATAATTATTGTATTTAGTTTAAAATAATATATATATATATATATATATATATATAATTTTATCTAATTTAAGTTGAATTAGGTTGTTTAAAGGATGTATAAAGGCATAAGGTCCAGTAGTTGAATTATGTATTGTGCATTAAAATCTTTAATAGTTAGAGAATAAAATTGTTCATTTCAATAGGGAGAATTGAATAGAGGTCGAGACACAGTCGTATTAATTTTGGAATCGATATTCTGTGAATAGAATCAAATTCACAACGCAACTATATGGCTTTAGATTAGATATTTTCAGGTTTAAATAGGTAATTTCTCATCTCATTCACGTTGATTCGTTAATCATACTTGGCTCTCTAAAAGATTACACTAAATTAATTTTTTCAGTACACCATGGGATATACGGACAGATCCAACAATTGAGTAACTAACATTGACGAAGTAAAAACTACTAGTTGGTATGTCTCCACATTAGGTGGAGCATCTATTTTGTGAAAGTTTGTGAACCAGACATGTGTTACTCGCTCCACTATAGAGTCAGAGCTTATTTCTCTTGACCTAGTTGAGCAAGAAACCGTGTAGCTCCAAATTTAATCAAATAAAATCTTTTATGTGTAAAATCGCCTCCTTTGGTGTCTATTACGTGATTCACAAGTATCAATTTGTGTAGCTCACAACCAATTATACTATGGTAAGAAAAGATACATTCATATAAGGCATGAGTCCATTAGACATTTAATAAGAAACAAAGTATTCTCTTTAAAGTATGTGAGGTAAAAAAAACCTTGCTGATCCACTTACCAAATGATTAATTAGAAAATTGATTTGAGATTCATGGAGGGAATGAACCTCAAGTATGTTATTTTAGGAATTCATGTGGATAACTTAGTTTTCGAAGTTCCATAAGTTAAACTAAGTTATGGAAAGATCTATGTGTACATTCATGCTTATCTTTGTGACGAATAATATACATGCACCAGGTTAAGTCTTTGCTACTAATAAATTAAAAGCTTGTATTTTGGGCGGTCCTAGTGAGAATGAGTTGATGAATTTAGCGACATAAAGGATAAATAACTACTCTTAATGAATTCATATCCGAAATTATTTGGTTGGTCTTATTGAAAAGGGCTTGATAATTCATTAATTTGAAAATAGAGTTCATACTCCATTGCTGGAGTGGTTATATCGAGAAGGACTTAATGAATTCATGGTTGATTTTTCATTCTCAATGAATTCATATCTCAAAGTTTGAAAGGTTCTTTGTAAAAGAACTTGATGCGTAACATCTTGCTTTATGGGTTAGGAGTTCGGGCCAACCCGAGGGAGGATCTAATAAACCTACTTGACTTGTTTGAAACCCATGTCCATTTATAGAATAGTTGGGCTTAGGATGAACCCATTTAAGTATACCTAGGGGTGTCTTTGAAACAAGGATAATTGAAGAATACCAAATTGGTTATTAAACCCTAAACTATTTTTGAAATCTAAATTCTCATTAAGACGATGATGAATACGAGCAAAGATATATTTTTTTTTCACTATTCCCTTTTCTTATTCTAGCTCTCTTTTCTTATCTTCTTTGGCCGTGATAAGAAGCTTAAAGGTGAAAGTTTTATTGTTCCCCAGCCCTATGTCAAATCTTTTAAGGTAAGAAAGGTAAACTACACATCTAGAGCTTCAATTCAAACCTACTTTTTCATGGTTTGGTTATGGTGGGCAAGGTGGGGGTTTTAGAGGGGTTTGGAAATTCTAGGGCTCTTAGGCATTCTAAATCCATTCCAAAGAGTTTAGAATCATGTTTGTACTCATTATAAACCCCTAAGGAAGTTAATAACCCATTGTTGTGTGTATTTTAGTGAGAGAAGTGCATGCAGGCTCCAAGGACATAGGTAAAGAGAAAAAAGTGATTTGATGAGCCTTGAGTTTTTTTCTTAGTCTCCAGGTGTAAGGTAACACATGACTTTTTTTTACTACTTGTAAGTCAACATATGTAGTTTTAGTGCATGTATGAGTTATGAAGCATTTGGGTGCATTTGGTGGTTTCAAGCAAGAAAATGGGAATTTGTTGTTATTCATTCATGAAAAAAATATGGGTCAATAAGACTGTGCATTGACTATTGATAATTGAACAAATTAACCGTGAAGAACCGATACCCACTTTCAAGGATTGATGATTTATTTGACCAACTTAAGGGAGCTAGAGTATTCTCTAAGATTGATTTAAGGCTATGTTACTACCAGCTAAAGGTTAAAGAGGCCGACATAGCAAAGATTGCATTTAAGACCTGATATGGACATTATAACTTCCTAGTGATGCCATTCGTCCTTACCAATTCCATGGCCACATTCATAAATTTGATGAATATGATATCCCAACATTACCTAGATCAATTCGTAGCCGTATTCATTAGATGACGTCTTGGTGTACTTGCTTTCAGAGGAGGAGCATGATCGTCACCTCTGTATGGTTCTTCAGACCTGGAGGGAGCGCCAATTGTATGCGAAGTTCAATAAGTGTGAGTTTTGGCTATCAGAGGTATCATTCTTGGGGTCATGTAGTGTCCACCGAGGATATCCAATTTGACCCTTAAAAAATCAGAGTCGTAGTTGAATAAGAGCCACCGAGGAATGTGTCCGAGGTGCGTAGTTTTCTAAGACTTCCTAGTTACTACCATCATTTTGTGAAAGGTTTTCCATGATTGTCGCCCCAATGAAAAAGCTACTGCAAAAGGGAGTACCTTATGTTTGGGATGAAAAATGCCAACAAAGTTTCGAAAGGTTAAAGAACATTTTGACTCATGCACTGATGTTGACTCAGTCAGAGTAAGGAAATGATTATATCGTGTTTAGCGATGCTTCGCTAAACAGTTTGGGTTACATACTAATATAGGAAGGTAAAGTGGCTGCATATGCATCCTGACAGTTGAAACTGGATGAATGCAATTACCCCACTCATGACTTAGAGCTAGCACCAATGATTTTTACCTTGAAGATTTGAAGGCACTACCTCCACTACAACAAAATTTTATATTAGTGGCATCTAGATTACTGTCACTAAAACTTCAATTTATATCACTAGATGTATTTTGTGACGTAAAAGTCAATGTCATGACGATCGTCACCCTAAGTGTGTCACTAAATGTCAAAAGTGACGATGTATGTGTTATCGTCATGTATTGTTAAATATATAGTGACGCTAATGGATAACGTCATAGTTTAATTTGCATTCAGTGACAATTACTTTTGTCAGCAAATGATGTATATTTTCGTCATTAATAAATCATATCGTCACCAATAACACAATAATTTCATTGTATACGTGATGAAAAGAAAATTATCACATTGTTAGTAACGTAGTATATCGTCACCTAATAGTAGCATGGATGACATTTATATATAACGTCACTATATAATTAATATTCAATGACAACTAATTATGTCACTAAATTATGTAAAATTTCGTTATTAATGATTTATATCGTCACAGATAATACATTAAAATCAACCTATATGTGACGAAAGAGATATTGTCACATTTTTAGTGACATAATATAAATGTTACCTAATAATATTATGAATGACGTTTATGCATAACATCATTTTATAATTTATATTCTATGACAGTTGGTTACGTCACTAAATTAAATAAGATTTCGTTATTGATAATTTATATTGTCACAAATAATGCATTAAAATCAACTTATATGTGACGAAAGATATATTGTAACAAAACACAAATAATTTATATTCTCTGACATTTTTAATGACAATATATATTAAAATAATTTTTTTTATACAAATCTAAATAAAAAATAAAATAGTTCACTTATTGCAAAATAATAAGATTTAAACAAATATTTCACTAAATACATAATATTTTCATTTCTATAAATATAAAAATGTTTAAATGTTTACAGAAAATAAAAATAATATGATAATAATATGACTTGTAGAATATTTCGTGGTAACAATCTCAATCCAAACCTTGAGTCGGTTGTGGTTCTGTTGATGTTGAGTTTGTGGTATCATTTGAAGCTACAAATTAAAATAACTAACATTAGTTACTACAATTAATAATATATAATAATTTTTATTTTATTAACTATATTGTTTACCTGAAAAGGTGAATCTTTGATGAGATCAAACGGTGAAATTGTTTACCACCTATCATTGATGTCTGGTCCAAGAACTTCACCACCCATGTCTTCTCTATCATTCATAGACGAGGTTGATGAATTTTCAAGTAGTTGTTTCTCAGTTAAATACATCTCAGCCATATCTTCAGCATCATCTAGCAAGTGCTCCAATTCATCCCTTACCTGAGAATAAGTATATACATAAGTTTAGAATTGAAAATGGAAGAAAGAAAAAGAAACAAAAAATGGAAGTTAAAACAAATGCATTGTTCAATTGATTGATGTCAACTCGGCTCAAATGTCACACATGACATTCTGCATGGTTATGTTTAAATACAAAACTGCACCGGAATAAAACAATAACCAAAACATAACGAGTAAAACAGCGTGATGGTAACAAAAAAGTTCACAGACAAACTAAGAGAGAGAGAGTTACTAACTTCATTTTCTAAGCAGCTACAAGCAGCTTCAAGGCATGCCTCCAATGCAACAAACTCAAATGGGAGAATCTTGGAGCCATTTGGGTTCTCAAGACTCTGTTTCTCTTCTGATTTACCTTCATCATCCAGGTTCTGAGGCTGTGAAAACCTTGATGACAAATTTTGAGAACTCGATCGAATTATGTAGTTGGAATCATCAACCGCACCTTCCTAAAGAAGAAAACTAAACGATTTGGCCAATGAATATGAAAAAGAATCAGTTGTAGAGCCTAGTAACAAAATGGAAATTGGTAGAGAACCAAGAATGAACCAGCAGGAGCTGATATTGACTATTTTCATGACTCAATTTTTTTCTGTAAGTACCGGAGACTAACACTTTGAAATATGTACAAGGACATGACCCTCCAAGAACACTCCATATACAAGGAGGAACTTTTTAAAATTTAAGCATTCAGTGTGGGCACATACCCGTACCCATCACACAATTGAATCCGAGTAACCTAGGATATTGAGCTATAGCAACATGACTGACTACTTGCAACTAGAAAGAAGGTAAATGAGCTCGCAAAGCAGCAGCTGGCAGCTACTGAGCTTATCACTGACATTCTGAGAGCTGCCAAGCTGATTATTAGTTACGAAAATAGAGTGTAACCACCAGCTGAGCTAGCAGGTATCTATAAGTTAAGTCAATAAATTGTGACAGGATAACAGTTAACTTATTATCACTAAATTCTAGAAGGCAATCATGTTGTTGAATTCCACTACGTTACTTATACTCGGAGGCGAGTGTTGATTTGAATGCAATTATGAAGGAAAGATATCAATTTCTGTATTTTCTCCCCTAAATTATCAACTCACACATGATTTTACCTAATTGAAATAAGAAAATTTTATCGATGCAAAAATAAAGCAGGAAAACAAATAAGAACCCTAAATCAAAATGCCATGATAGAACATCAACTAAACAAATATATATATAACTAAAGAAATCAAATTAATAAATAACGAACCTGGACTTTGGTTGCTTGAAAATGGCACAAAATTCGGCTCTGAATCTCATCAACAAAGGGGGTAACCGAAGGATCCTTAGAATTCAAAAGCAAAACCTCTTGCGCTGTGATGATTGCCTTAATATTTTCCAAGTTAATCACGATCGCCCTTTCGCGACCCAGAATCGTAGACGGGTACGACAGAAGCGGGTCCAATATCCGAAGATCTCGAGCGGGTAAACCCGTGCGTCTCATGATTGCATGTTTTTCGGCCTCTACCATCTAGTGTGGCACGTCGAGTCCAGAATAAGCCATGCCTGAACACCGGTTCCCTTCTTCCGATGACCAGTGTCACACCCCAATTGGTGGGGTTCGTTTTTAATTGAATATGGGTTTAGAGGACTCTAAAATTCACGTGAATTCTATCCATTATTTAGTGATGTGAATTTGTTTATTATTATTATTTTATAATATGAAAAATGGAGAACCACATGTTTGAAATATATTTTTGGGATGAATTGGTTTTAATAAGAGGATTTGGAAGAAACCTAACCGACTTCAAAAAAAAAAATTATTCATTCCCTATCTTGATCTAGAGCATGAACCAGTGAGTTCACCGGGAATAATAGAGCAAACAAATCGATCAAAAATAGTGTAAACGAGAGCAAAGTTCGACGAAGCTTTTGGGTTTTGGTCCCGATGATCTGGGCCACCGTTGGGAAATTCCAGCAATGAAATTGTTCTTAACAACGAGATGACCATCATACCTCGGAAGCAACACCATCCAACGGTGAAGGCAAAGAACGGAGAGGTTGAAGCTCATCGCATTCGATATTTTTATTGTAGATCTACAATCGTCCATCGTGAGTCTCGATCAATAGAGGCAAGATCCGTGACGAGGAGGGTGAGACGAGTTTGATGGTGTACTTTAGGTCCCGAACGACGATCGATGGCGCTAAGCAACGTGGTTGTCATCGGTATTTTGATTTTCAGTCAACCATTTTCGTCCTATTTTCAGAACACTGGACGAAGAGTGTTAAGGAAAAAAATGTTACTTGAATTATAATAAGAGAAAATCGCCTCAGTGACCAAAAATACCTTATAATATACGATTTTAACCAACTCTTTTTGGATTTGCCAAAATGACCAACAAAATCGCAACGCGAAATAAAAATCGCAACGCGATCCCCAGAATCGCAAAACAGTTTCCAAAATCGCAACGCGATTCTGGAAAATCGCAATGCGATAGTACAAATTCGCATTGCGATTTTCAAGAATCGCAACGCGAATATGAAAATCGCAACGCGAACACATAAATCGCAACGCGTATCCGTAAAAATCGCAACGCGTATCCGTAAATCGCAACGCGTATCCGTAAATCGCAACGAAAATACGTAAAATCGCAACGCGTATCCGTAAATCGCAATGATAATCCGTAAATCACAACGAGAATCTGTAAATCGCAACGATAATCTGTAAATCGCAACGATAATCCGTAAATCGCAACGAGAATCTGTAAATCGCAACACTGAAATTTTGGGTATATAACTACACAACAGCAGCAAATCATAAACTAAATCCCTAAATCGTAACTCATTCCATCTCCATCTATCACTCTCTGCGGCGACATCCGTTCCTATATCCAACGACATCCTTCCCAATCCGGCAACAGGTTTTAGTTTCGTAGCTCGTCTGTTTAGTAAATTAATTTACAACCATGAAATCATCTAATGTCATGGGAGAATGTTCATGGTGTTTTACAATATATGCCTTTACCCATGAATCTTCAACTAAAATTGTCATTAAAAAAGTTAACTTATGAAACTCTAATGCTACGTGTTTCAAAGAAATTGAATTTAGAGCCCCTAAGTGGATTTAGGCTATCTTATCAGAGAAATGGTAAAGTTTATTTGTTAACCGGCAATGAAGATGTTGAACGATTCATTGCTTACATTAGTGTTTCATAAGATGATGTTACATTGTATGTTGTTGAACCTAGAAGTAGTATTGTTGGGTCAGTAGCGGGTAGTAATCAACTAAGTTTTTCTCAAAACCCACAACCTTTCTCTAATCCAAATCCCAATCAACTTTCAGCACCAAATTCCGGTTTTCGTATTGACCAGTTAGACGATGATGAGCCAACAGAAAAAATTGTGAGTACTAGTCAGTATTCGAAATTTGGTCTTGGTCAATACCCGGACTTTGATATTGGTCAATACACGGACTTTGATATTGGTCAATACACGGATTTTGATGATGTTTCAGAAGAAGAAACAGACCCTGCGTGTAATGATTTTGATATTGGTCAATACCCGAATTTTGATGATGAAACAGCCGTTGCCGAAGAAGATATTGTTGATGATAATGAGGAGGAAGTTACGACTGTGAATGAACATGTTGAACATCCATTCTGTAATTCATATAATCCTGAAGAAGAAAAAGAAGAAGAAAAAGTCCCTGAAGAAAAGAAAATGCCACGGGAGTATAACTGGAATATGCCAGAATTACTTCAGATACCAGAAGAAGAGTTGGTAAAGAAAGCAGTTGATTGTTACACAAAAGTTATTCGTATCAAGAAAGATGATTGTTTTGATACAAAGGAAGACTTGAAGATAGCTTTGTATACGAAATGTGTGGAAGATGGCTATCAACTAAAAGTTAACAAATCAAGCAAAGATCGTTGCGAAACAAGGTGTATGATTGACAAAAACTGTACATGGCGTATGATTGCAAAGAGAATAAAAGATTGCGAAATGTTTCAAGTTAGGACTTTTATTGATAAACATACATGTTCAAGAACCCAAGTTTTTCCTCACCATAGACAGGCAAACAAAAAGGTGTTGGGTGGTTTTCTGGCTGAGTTACTGTTTTTGAATGGCAGGGTATATCGGGGACATGAAATTATGACTGACATGAATGCTCGGTTCAAGATTAGTATATCATATTCTCAAGCTTGGAGAGCCAAATGTTATGCCTTGGAATTGTTGAGGGGGTCGCCAGAAGCATCGTTTGCCCAACTGCCGGCTTATTGTCACAATTTAAAGCTGAAAAATCCTGGGTCGGTAACTCATATCAAAACAGATAGAGATGGACGCTTTGAGTTGCTGTTTATCGCCATTGGTGCTACGGTTAGTAAATCAATATAATTTTGTTGACTCATTTTTGTTAGTTACATGCATTTCACATTTAAATGATTATATTTCTTGTGTTTATTATTTTGTAGATTCGTTCGTTTATTACTTGCATGCGCCCAGTTATTATAGTTGACGGAGCACATTTGAAAGGTCGATACCTTGGAGTAAACTTATTAGCAGTAGCCATGGATGCTAACAATGGGGTATTGCCAATAGCTTACGGGGTTGGCAAATCTGAAACCTCTGATTCATGGACATGGTTTATGGGGCATCTTAGGGATTGCATAGGTCCTATTAGCAATCTGAAAATCATATCCGATAGGGCAAACTCAATTGACAACGATGTTAGAAGGTGTTTCCCAGATGCTTTTCATGGACTTTGTGGTGTTCATTTGTATAGAAATCTAAAATCAAGGTCTGCTGGTATAAAAAAGCACAAATGGACATACTGGAAGGCTGTAAAAGCTTATCGGGAAGTGGATTTTAATAAGCATATAAACTGTTTAAGACGTGTTTTGCCTCAGTGTGCTCAAACACTAGAAGATGTCGGGTTTGAAAGATGGTCAAGAGTACATCAACTTGGAGCAAGATATGGTTTCATGACGTCTAATAGTGCAGAATCAATCAACGCTCTAAGTCGTCATTCCCGGAAATTACCCATTACTATGTTAATGGAGTTTTTTCGAGCCTCTATTCAACAGTGGTACTACAAGAAAAGAAACCATGCAGGTATTATTTCTTTGAATTCGTAACTTATCATATATTTTACTAAGTATTGTTTATTTAAATTTACAAGAACATTGGAACATCGTGTTACACCATGGACTGAAAAAAAGATAACGAAACGTGTTGTGAAGTCAACGTCATGGAGAGTTGAACCATGTTCAAACACTTTGTTTCAAGTACTGGATAATAACTTAAATGGGCTGGTCGATCTAAATGCAAAGACGTGTAGTTGTATGAAATGGCAAACATCTGGTTATCTGTGTGGCCATGTTATAAAAGTTGCTCTTCATTTAAACCAAGATGATTCAAGCGCATACGCTATGGATTGCTACACTACAGAAGTTTATCGACAAACTTATGCTGAGATTGTCTACCCTATTCCACATCCTTCTGAGTGGGACATACCAGATGACTTACAAATAGTTTTGCCACCAGCCATGGACAGAAGGCTACCTGGCCGACCAAACAGTCACGATCGTATACCGTCTAAGGGTGAAGAGAAGAAGAGATCGACATGTAGTCGGTGCAAGGAAAGTGGTCATACAAGGTTGACATGTGGATCACCAGTGCCATCACAATCATCTTTTCCTCTACCAAAATATGGATCCTCATCAAAATCCAAAGCTCATATGGTTTCAAGCAAAAGGCAATCATCTTTAAAATCCCAATCACAACTGGCTTCACCTTTTGGGACTGTTAACTTAGGTGATTTTTAAATGCAAACGTTGTATTATGTGGATTTTATTTGTGAACTTTTAACATTTTCAGTTGAATTAATGACTCATGCAAACCATTTTGACTTAAACAACTCTTGTTATTCAGTTGTTATCACTTATTAGGCATGCATTTGACTATCGCAACACGGAAATTACAATCGCAATGAGAGAATCGCAATGCGAAATGAAAATCCCAACATGAAAATCGCAATGCGAAAATGAAAATCGCAATGCGAAATGAAAATCGCAACGAGAGAATCGCAATGCGAAATGAAAATCGCATTGCGATTCTCTCGTTGCGATTTTCATTTCGCATTGCGATTCTCTTGTTACGATTTTCATTTCGCATTGCGATAGTCATTTTTGCCTTCAACATAATGCAGATTGAAATCAACAAAATCAACCATTACATTTCAATCAATTAAACAAGCACAAATAAGAATTATGTTCGCATCAATTAAACAAATCAACTTTTACAAATCATCTTTTACAAATAAATTAAACAATCAAAAAATAAGCAATAGTTCTTATTTCCTCATCTACTATTGAATCAACTTTTACAAATCATCTTTTACAAATCAATTAAACAATCAATCTATCTCTTCCATGTGAGTACTTTATTCCAACCATGTGACAAGTGTGACAACCCCATCAACTCACAACTCAGCTCTGAACTCAATCAATATTGTCTTTTAGCTTGATGGTTCATAAAGCATGTTACTTGAATAGTATAAATCAGTTATGCAATTTCCATGTTCAATTTAACGCTGCATTTCAAATTCAT